TAGTCTTTCAAGTCCTATTTTGGTAAGGGGGAACTTTGAAGAAAAGCCCTGCAGCTTATGTTAAATGAAGTGTCGTACAGTGCTTGTTGGTTCTTATCCCATTTCACTGGTGAAATTTCTGTACCTTGCTGCTACTTAATGTTTCAGATGTTTCCGGTAACGTGCTTGTTTTTGATTTTTCAAAAACAACTGTGACAGTATCTAAACCGTTTCGCCAAGTACAATTTATACAGAACAGAGAATGACAAAAGTCCCAAGTGTGGTTCAACAGCTGTTGCTCCTCACCCAGAGCTAAGGGTAGAGGCGGTTGTATCCATGGTAACCTAGATGAGCAAGTCAGGGAGGGAACTTCAGGATTCTTACATGGGTGAATGACAGAGCAGCCACTGGCCACCCAGCTTTCACAGACATTTGGCTTCAGAGAGGACTTTTTTTATAGAAAGGACTCATCCTATAGTTCCTCATTTTGTAAAGCAGACAAACTTATACTGTGGTTAGAAAAGGAGTTGAATACCTGAAAATGTACAACAGCAAAGGGCTTACAGAAGAAACCATACGTCATCCTTGTTTTATGTTTGCATTTACAACATGCATCACAATTTCAGGCTTATTTAAGCATCACACCATTTCCTTCTTCCAAAACTTCAGAGGTACATGCGCTGCAGAAAAGGTGTGCTGGTGACAATTACAAGACGGGAGACTAAAGCAAGGGATGCATTCGTAACAAATGGCGGGGTTCCTCCCAAGGGCCCCAGGGTGCTGCGACATGCATAAAAGCACTGTCTTTGTCGCTGATTGGAGGAGACCCCAGTACAGAGGAGGTGGAGGGGGGTGGCTTTGTGACAGATGCTGAAGAGAGCAAGGGACCCACTGTGGATCTGAAAGCGCCAAGTCAGACACACATTGGGTGGGAAAAGCTTTCCATCTGAACTTTACACCTGCAAAAGATCCCAGTTGTCAAGTCAGAGAGAGAACCAAGTCTTCCAGGGGCCTGATGCACACATTTCAGTGGCACTTTCGGAGTTGCTCTGTGGCTCCTGCCTCTGTGGATGGGTAACCATGACATGGGCTCCAACTTCGGGAGCCACGTCAGAGTCTGTTAATGGACATAACGCACAGCAGCACTGATGGTCTAGTTTCAGAAGGCAGTGCACAGACTGTGCCCCATGATTGCCAAGGCCCTGACAGTCTTGGTGAAGTTATTCCTACTGTGTCCACCCTCTATTGGAAGGGAGCAGGGTTATTAGATGTTGACTTTATTTATTTACTTATTTTGGCATTTCGAGGCAGGATCTCACTATGCAGTTCAGGCTGGCCTTGAGCTCACTTTGTAGTTCAGGCAGATCTTGAACTCGGGACAATTCTCCTGCCTCAGCCTCCCAAGTGCTGGGATTACAGGCATGCACCAGTATGCCTGGCTGAGATGTTGAAGAAAGTTGGCTGTAATTAAATATTTTAACCTCATCCCTCTTCAGTATCTTCAAGACTGATAAACTGGGGAATCTGTACCTATTACAATGTGTCTCTTCTCATGTTTGTAGGACTCTTACCATGGGCTGGAGTTTACTTGTACTTTGAAGTAAGGTTAGTTGACTTTTATATTTTAATTACTGAAATTTTATACTTAATTTCTAATTAGAGAGATAAGGGCCTTTTTTTTTTTCCCAAGAAAAAGCTTTGAATTTTAATAGCATATGTTTAAGTTTTGCTTAACTTTTTTTTTTTTTTGGTTTTTGTCTGGTACCAGGAGCTGAACTCACTACCTTGTGCTTGCCAGGCAGGCGCTTTGCCGCTGAGCTAAATCCCCAGCCCCTAGTTTTGCTTAACTTTTATTGGCTTTGTAATATAATATAAATTTATAGTGTAATATTTTACTATAATCTTTACATTGCAATTTACCCTAAAAATTCTGTTCTTTGAAATAGTAAATGGAATAGTTATAATGTGTATTAGATAGGGTTATGACTCAGCATAAAATACATGTGACTCAACTGAAAATGCTGTATTTATCTGTGGTTACATCCAGTGCATCCTTGAACTCATCAGGAGAAATGACCCTTAATATCAAAATATTTTTCTTACATGCAGGTGGATGAGAGCATGAATGTGTCTCCTCGTACACTGACAAGTCAGTCACACTCATAGTCCATGCTGATGACATAGACACTGTGCTAGTCAGCTTTCCGTTCCTGTAAAAGAAAATAGCTGAGACAAATCTTCCTTGGGAAGAGGAAATGTCACTGTGGCTCCCAGGTTTGGAGGTTTGGCGCCTGCCTGGCTGGTTTGGTGCGTCAGGGCTGGGAGCACACGGGGTGACTGCTAGCCGTGGCAGGGGAAGAGCGAGGTGCCAGAGTCCCACAGTTTCCTGGAGGGCACAGCCCTACGATGGCTGACCCTGCCACCTGGTCAGCCTGTCAAGGGTGGCACAGCTCCTAGGAGCTTCAGGCTGAGGTCTCGGCCTTGAACACGGGGTGCTGGGGATAGGCCAGGTCATGCTGTAGCAGACTAAACTGATGCTAAGAGTAGAGGCCCTGGTGTTGAATGCGAAGGTCTGAGGCTGACGGAGGGGTCTTCCTATCTCCCGGACAGCTACGCTGGACGTGGTCTGCTGTGAACTTCATGTGGCAGGAAGATCACGAGCTTTGAAGTCACCCACTGGGGCTCAAATCCTGGTTCTGTCCCTTTGTAGTTGGCTCTGACTTTGAGCAAGCCACTTGAAACTTTTGATCTTTAGTTTCTTTACCTGCAAAGTGTGTATATGTGTGTGTGTGTGTGTGTGGGCAGACTACTTCACAGAGGATTCCAAATGACTCTTCTCCCCTGCTGTGATAGTATTTGGGGAGTCTCCCTGTGCTCACTGGAGTTTTCTGTAGCCCAGGATTCTGCGGTCACTTCTTAAATTGGAAGGACCACATTGACAGTGCATGTATTTTGGGCCGGGTGCTTTCAAGTTTGCTAGACCTTGCTAGGGTCCTATCTGTGGTCTGTTAGTCTTTTCCAGATTTCTAGTTTCTCCCAGTTTGCAAGTGCCTTGTTAGTTCTGCAGCTGCTTGCTCTGGACCTGCTCTACAGTGGAATTCTAGGGTGTGTGTGCGGGTGAGTTTCACCATGTGGGAGGTGACAGACCATTTTTCTTCATCAGCGCGATTGTTGTGTCTAGCTGGAAGTCTACCGAGGCCCTCTTTTCACTAATGTGGATCACCCGCTCTGTGCCAGGCACGGTTCTGGAAGATACATCAGTGAATGTCATTGGCGTGGTCTTTCTGCAATGCAAATTACCCCCTCTATTTTAATGAGCAGAGCTAGGGAGTCACTATGGCAGAATATTTAGCAAACATTTTCACAGATGGGACAGTTCATTCATAGTGATAAAATCCTGTAAGGAAAGAGAGCAGAATTATGGCATGCTATGCGTGGATGTTACACGGGAAACTTGGAATTTTCGTCAGGGAAGGCCTCTCGGAGGTGTGGCATTTGCATCCAGCTCTCCTCTCTTCACCACCACCTCCTCCACCCCTGCACACTCCCAGCTTCAATCTGCCAACCGGTGACTGCCAGAATGCATGGGAGGTGGGGGGGGTGGGAGCTGTGAGTGACAGTGACTCGGGAAGGGGGACCATTAATGGAGGGGTGGAAATGAGGTCCCGACTGCTCGGTTAACCCAGCCCCTTGCTTCTGTCAGTCTTTGAAGTAGGGCCACAGAGCAGAATCTTCCCCTGGCCAGGCACAGGTGCACAGGCAGGTTTTTTTTTTTTGATGGTTTTTAATGGCAGATAGGAGTGTTGGGGAAGCCTCGGCAGATATGCTAGAAGACACAGGAACAGGAGGCGTTCTAGGTCAAAGCCCAGCTGTTTTCTCAAAACAGAGAGAAGGACACAACAATCTGTATGCAGAGACACTCCGATAAGAGATTTGGGGGAGTGTGTGTGTGTGTGTGTGTGTGTGTGTGTTTGCCCTCACAGAAAGATGAGAAACAGGCTGCAGAGGGAGGGAGGAGAGGACATAGAAGTCCAGCTCGGAAACATCAAACATCTTGCAAGCTGTGTGCTGTACTTACTGACCTCTCCTTATTTGAAGATCACTGACCCTAAGTGTTACGAGGTGACGCGAATGTTAATTCTTTAAAAACTAAAGTACCAAAATGATACACAAACCTGTAGGATAGGAAATCCTGCCACATACTGTGGATAGCATACAACAAAATAATAAGTGACTGAAGTTTTACATTTCTTAGAGGAAAACCGAGGAATGGGATTTTTAGTAGAGTAATAAAAACAAAGTAGTAACCACTATAAAAGACAGCTATATAAGACAACTTATAACAACTATAAAAGTCTACTGTAGTAATAGTTCAACAGCAAAGAACAACAGCCTGAAATAAGTTGTGTTTGTGAGGCTAGAGGGACAAATATTTCCCATATAAAATTTGTGAGAATTCCTTGCGCCCCGTATACACATATATAAATTACTTCCTTCCTTTCGTCTGTTGGTTATGGACTGGATTTTGCCTTCCTTGTCCTTTGCATGTGGAGGAGGAAAACTTTTGCTATTACAGATGTAGTTCTCAGAATCTCACTAGAGGGTGGTGTTGGTTTTAAAACCCGAGGTCGCTGCTGTCTACAGTTCATTCATTTCTGGGCTGCGTTTATGTTTAAAGAAAAGGTAAAGTCAGCCAGTCTGTTTTCCCTAGAAGTGTCAAACCCGGAGCCGCCCCAGAGGCCCCAGCTCTGGGTGATGGTAGCCCCAGAGGAGCCAGATAAAATAGTGAGGAGATTAGGGAGGAGCTGCGCCCAGTCTAACTCAGCCCCTACACTAACTGGTAGACAGGGCTCCCTGGGTCTTTATCTCCTCTGCTAAATAAAAAGGTCACCTTAGAGGCTCTCTAAATCCCCAGTGCAATGTGAAAACGCTGAGATTCTAACAAAATTCTGGGTCTAAAATGCGGCAGACTCCCGGTGTTTTGGTCAGAATAGAAGAAACAAAATCTTAAATTATTAAACTGTCAACCAAACACAATTTAATGTCACAGGAAAGGTTTAGTACAGGTTCAAGTTTCGTGAGTTCGAGCCATTGTTTGCCCTCGTTTGCACGGGCGTGTTCTCTGGTCAACTCGGGCGCCCGAAGATCGCTCCTCTTGGTTGCTAGGTTGGCAGAAATGAGCAGACACGTTTACACGGAGTTACCTAAAGAAAGGAGTCGAGACTTGTCCTGCAGGACTGTCCCAGGGTCGCGCAAAACCTCCCAGCCCACCCTGTCTGAGCTCACTCCCATCGGATCTGCCTTTGTGAGCGGCGTCTCCAGGGGGATTCGGACGTGCAGTGCTCACCCAGGCCCCCTCCCCTGCCATCCTTCCTCGCGTTGCAGAGTGAAGGGGAATCCTGTCGGAGACCCTGAAGCGAATTATGCAACCCCGGGGTCCGGGTGAAGCCCCGTGTGGGCCGGCAGCGCCGCCTGCAGTGACCCCCGGCGGTGCCAAGCTCCGCTCTGACTGCAGCGCCCGGAGCGCGCTGACACTAAGCTCAGCACCCGCTTGCCTGCGAACCGCTTTGTTCTGAGAGGACGGCTTGCTCGCCTCGCGGGCTGGCGGTGCACATGTGAACTTCCCGGCGTGTGCGCCCAGCGCCAAGG